CAGCACTGATGACCCTCTGCAATTGCATTGTCTTTGGAATACAGGGATACAATAATAACAGCAGGTCCTTATTAAAATACATACACATACATTTCATCTGCCAGGTAGAGAGACCATGAAACGTCTAATCTGGTGAAGAAAATCTGAAAGATATATCACTCCTTGTATTCTACTGCTTTTATGGTATTGAACTGGTTATGTGGTATAAACTGAGATAGAAAGTGAGAAAAGTTTCTAGGAAAGTTCACAACAAACACGTAGCTGAATAATTTATCTAAATTCATGGATGTCAAATTAGGCCATGTAGTATTTTCTGGATTAGGTTTTAATTCTGCCTGTTAGGTTTGGTTTGCTCACATCTATTGGGGAGTGCAACACACAATTCACTTACCAAGTGTCTGCACCAAGGTTGCAGTCACAAAACAGTACAGTTTGACTGTGTATGTATCAGCAATGATGTGAATTATAGCAGACTGACTTTTTTTGCTTTTATTTTCTGCCCTGAGTGCTTTAAACACACTGTTAACAGGAAAACTTTTTTAGGTTAACTATGTGGATGCATCAAGGACAGGTTGCTGGACTTAAGGCTGGGAAAAAAATAAGAGATAAAAAATTCAGATAAACACATTCTTTTACATCACGTTCTATATTAACTGTTGGTAGTTGTTGAGCACATTTGATTCCAACACAGAAAAATGACCTAGGGACTCACAATATAAAAACTCAGTTTCAAAAGAGAGCTTGCAACAGGACTTTTGAAGGCAGCAAACCCTTTCAGGAGTGGGGCTGATGGGAGAAAGGACAGGGAGTGGAGTTCTTCGGCTTTTTATTTGTCTTTTACCAGGGAGGAAAAACAACAGTGTCACTGGGATGAGTATAGAAAAAATGGTGGTGGTTTTCTCTTTTTATTCCCTTTTCTTTAATTATGTTGCTTTGTGCATCATCCATTAACCAGGCAAAAAATGTTAATTACAGACCTCTTGAGTAGTAGATAATGGGCTGTCAAACAAGATAGAGTATAACATGGCATTGACTCAGTTTTAATTTCAATCCTCACATCCTGTGGCAGCAACATCAACCAGTCCTTAGAGAGACTCAGCCCTGGGTTCTGTTCATGTCCTGCCATTGACCTTTGCCATGTGCTGGAAACCTCTGGGGTTAAGTTACCTGTTCTGTCTACTGAGGAGATAAAATCTGCTGAACAGTTAATTATGTGACTGGGTATCCTAATATTTCCCTTAGGCCTTAAAGTCTGCGAACTGGCCATTAACATTTTATTTCTGTTTAAAATAGTCTATTTTCCTGAAAGTGGCTATGATTTAAAATTAGACCCTGCAATGAGCAGACCATGGATCTCTTTCTTTCTTTATTATGATGTGAGAGGTTACTGACCCTACAGTAATTGCCCGGCTGGGATTTTTGTCATGTCCTGACATGAGAAGTTTGTTGGAGTTTTTTGTTTGTTTGTTGTTTGATTTTGGTTTTGTTTTTAAATTTTGTTTTTGTTTTTGGCACTGTGATTTTCAGAGTGGGTTTATTTCTATGATTATAAATACACACAAACTAAAAGTTTGTCCCAGTGTAGGACTGCCTTTTTCTGACTGAAGGAAAATTAAGACTGAAGTTTGTCTGAACACCCAAGAGAGTCAACATTTGATTCTAAAAAATAAAAATCATCACTAAAATCTTAGAATGCTGGAGGGAATTTGGTAAGAATGAAGAAATTCCTTTCTAACACTTATGAATTAGGAATTCTGCTACTGTATTTTAAAAAATCCAACTGATCCAAATTGTTTTGAGCTTTTAATTTGAAATATTTCTCAATGTTCCTCAATTTTCAAGTGCCAAAATAAACAAAGATTGACAATCAGAAGATCAGCATGAAACAGTTTTTACTCAAAACTTCTTTTTTTTTTTTCCCCGTGCAAATCAGACTCACAGAATTATAGTTATGCCACAATTTTGAATGTTTTAGTACAAAATAAATCATGCTGTGGCTGAATTTGAAACTTGAAGAGCTCACTTGAGAAAGACTGAGCTCCCGATAAGTACATTTACGGCCTGATACTGTTCTGGGCTTGTGATAAATAGAATTATAACCTAATCCTGTGAAGTATTTTACAGGCTTCCTTTCAAAGGTTTCAGAACGTTTTTCTAACAACAATAAAGCAATCCTAAAACACACTTGTGAGGTTCTTACCTACAGAAAAGGTTAATACTTGTCAAAGCAAAGCAATTGACTTCCTCAAGGTCAGAGAGCAAACCTATAGGACTGGGAACAAGAGAAGCCACCAGATAGGTCTGCTCATCAGGCTGTATCCATGGCACTGGCCCATGGTGGTTAAAAGCATTGTACAAAGCTTCCAGTGCCAGAGGTAGAAAGCACTTCCAAAATTAGCTGAGGCAATAAAACGTTCGCGTTGTGAACTTTGCAAGCATCCTTTATGACTCTGAGGTTATGATTAACATTCTTACACAAAATGTTCTCTCAGCAACTACACTGTGCTTTGGTACTTGCTCATTCTTGCTATCAATTCTGCTACCTATGTACAAAGACATTTTACAGGAAGATCAATATTTTTCTGAGTGATAAAGCCTCTAAGTGTGAGGTCAGCAATCAGTTAGGGTAGTGCGTTCAGATCCATTATCCACAGTACCCGGAGATGTGCAAGAACTTACCAGTCCTTATATATGGACCTAGAACAAATTCAAACTCAAAGGTAACCATGGCTGAGAAGAAAAGTATCATACTAGTATGGATGAAGTAGAATCAAAGAAAACTCTTAGTTAAAGAAGGGGAAACAAGAAGGGACAATAGCTGATGAATACTACACAGCATCAGAGAATGAGGATATTTACGAAAACTAACCTAAACCTGCCTGACGCTAATGAGTAAGGCATGTTTTGTAGTTAAAGGATTCCCCTCCAAGGTGATTTCTAGCAGAAATTTAGTTTAGGTGTCATTATGACGGCAATCGAGGCACCTTAGTTAGCCTTTGCAACAGTCTTGTCCTCCGCTATATTTCTGCTACAGAATTTTATGCCACGGGGTTTTATTAATTTGTCTTCTTGGAGTAATGTTTACATATTTCCACAAAACTCTCCTTATTTCATGCCTCTGACATTTTACAGGAAAAAATGAATATGAGAAAAGGAGTTCTCATAAGAGCTGTGTGCCCTGTTCCCAGAAGAATGAACTCAGCTGCAGGAGCCCAAGAGGAGCATCAGCAGCATTTTGACACAACTTCCAAAACTAGGGCTTTAGAGATTTTAATAGAACAGTTTAACTGGAAATCATTAATTTTATGAGCGCCTTAGAATTAAACATTAAGATATCATTTTACCCTAAACTGGCAGGGCATTGTGCAGTAAAACTCAGCTTGGTTTTCCTCCCCAGGTGATCTAAAAGCCTTTATGGCATCTAGAACTTGAGTTGACAGGAGGGCTGTTTGTTGAAACAGGTTCAGAATTTCCCCCTCTTCTTTTGGGTTTGACGTTTGGAAGCATGTTGGTCAAGATTTTTACATTTCTTTCTGTCTGTCCATGGTGAGGCAATACTGAAAGTTTTAAACTATTCTTTTGGGAAATAAAACTCAGGTATGGAAAATATAATAAGAAAGCTGAGATTATTGGTATAGAGCCCACACAACATGTCTTACCAAGTCAACCAAAAATATATGCTTTGTAAATTATGACTGCCTGCAAATAACCTGGATACACCGTAGGTCATAACTGATCAGAATCTCTTTCAAGCAGCTCTTGATTTCATTATCCTCTAATCCCATAAGATGGTTAGAAAGTTGTCTTAAGTTTCTACCAATTAAACACCTTTGAATCAAAGCAAGTTTCCTAATAGTGTAATGAAATTACATGGGAAGACCATCAGCAACCTGTTATAATGCTAATATATTAAATCCACTACAGCCTGTTCAGTTGCTCTAGAAATGCCAACTTGTTACACGAAAAGAAGAAAACTATGAACACAAACAAAACAAAGGCATCTGAAACTTGCTTTCTAAATGTAAGAGGTTTTGTGCCCAGATCCACATATAAAATCATCCTATTTTTGAAAACAGGAATGGTTAAAGAAATATATTTTGGAACATTTTTACTACTACTGAAGTGAAAATTACATATGATATTTTTGTCCAAGTTTAATTTTAACGCCGTTATCAAAAAGACTGCCATTATGAAATCAGGTATCAGTACAGTTAATATACATAGACTGTAATTTAAGGACTGCCACTGTTATCCATACTTTTTTAATTCTGAAATATAGACATATATTTCTAGCACCATTGCAGTAAACTGGTATATCCTTTCAATATTACTCTTTCCCTTCAAACTCCAAACAAAATTATGATAATAAAAATATGATAGCTGAAAGACAAAGTATCTTATGATGGCAGATGATACTTGTTGTTTCCAGCAATATTTTGATTTGTTATAAAAATCAGTTTGGAAACTGGTTTTACTTCAAAAGAAAAAAACACAAAACCCAAGAACAATCCACATTCGGTATTAAAATTAGTTATGCTAGAAAGAAGTGATTTAACCTGATAGATAATTATCTAGAAAGTTTTCTTGCAAAAGCAAGTAGCTATGAAAGCTTGAAAGGAGATAAAAAATGGAATTTAAAATGTCATGGGAAACAGCATACGCATTTTTTTGTTGGATTGTTCTTTGGAGTAAACAAAATTCATCCTAATCTCCTTATAAAGGAAACCTCAAATAATCTTTCTGTAAATTAGTGAATGAGCCAGTTAATACAATGTAAAGAACTGCACCCAAAAGAAAGACATGATATTTCTTTCAGTACACAAAATGAAAAAATATGGTTATATGTGTAAGATTCTACATCTAATTTAATTAGCAGTTTTGTGTGTGAGGAAAAAGTTCCTGCTTACTTGCTCAAAACATTAAATTAGGTATACCTTGTATACTACCACGTTTAAAGATTATCAGATAAAGAAATAACAGAAAAGAGTCTCAATACTCACATTTTGTTTTAAGCTGCTTCTCTTGGTAACTTGTGCAGCAAAATAAAGGAAGAAATAATTACATGCCTTCACAGAAACAAGCATTCATCAAGTCCAAAAGAAACAGAACACTTTGCCAGAGCTATTTGAGGGTCCCATCAGAATTTGGCTGGATGGGGGAAGGCTGAGGGTCAGTTTGTTTCCCTTAGACCTCATGACATGCAAATAGCTGGCTGCTCCGCCACTGAATCAAATCATTCTTTGACATACTGTGTTTACAAACTGCAAACACATACCATGTAGGAGGTTCTTAAAGGAACATATTTCTGAGAGTTCTCAAAAGGAAAAATGCATTTCTGTTAAAATACCTAAGGAATCAAAACCCGCAGCCCCCAAAACTATTCAGTGCAAAGGAAAATGAAGGAGCATTATTCATCCCCAGATACACTTGGGTTCATGCATAATGAATCCAAAAAGTCTCATGTGGGTTTGTAAATCAAAAAAGTCGCAATTACTGAAGTCTGATTGTTGTGTACAGGAAATGGGGGGGCAGGGAGAAACTTCCTCCAGTTTCAGAAAAGACATTCAGGGACACAGCAGAACTTCTCTGAGACTATTGGGGCAGTTTCTGGGATGGATCAATTTGCTGCTCTTCCAGTAGACAGGAAAGTGCTCATACAGCGATACCACCAGAGCAGCAGCAATGGCCTCCTCTAGGCTCTCCTGGCCCTTGAATTACAGTCACCTCCTTTACTTTCTGCTTGGACACAGCAGGGGCCAGCTAACCTTCACAGACAGGCTCCCACATGCACGGAGCACATAGAGGTCCTTACACTTGGCATAACACTCCATGCAGACCTTTAATCGAACACAGCTGAAAGTAAGGACACATGTAGCCATTTAAAAATGCCAGCTGAAGTTAAGCAGAGAGAAAAAAGGATGGCTGCTTGTGGTATGAACCACGACTGACCTCCAGGCAGATTTTTCCACAACCAAGAGCCAGTAGATCTGAATCACTTAGTCTATAACGTCAAGGGGTGGGAGCTGTTTTATATCACAGATAGACGAAAGAAGGAATGTTTAAATGTTTAAAGATGTATTATGTTATCTGAGTACTTCAGTAAAATTGCCAAATCTGGACATGTTCTGGAGGTTATCTGTGTCTAGGTAGTGTCTTGCAGTTCAGACTGATCCTCTGAATATTTTTGCCAGGAACTGATGATCCCTGCTTGTGAATGACTGTCTTGTTAAACCTTTGCAGACACTTATTTTATCATTACTTAAACTAGGGGGAACTCTTTTCTCCTATTTTTATATGTGCTATAAGCTTTATTTATACCAAGCACCTTTTATTTCAAGCCTGTGACTTTTACAGATTGATTAGAGGACAAGTTAGGTGTGAATTTGAGCCCAGAATGAGAATCATGAATAGTTTTCTCTTGCCTTTGCTTCCAGAAAGAGAAAACTGAAAGCACAATTCTTAACCAAGCACCTCTTCTAGTTCATAAAGCAGTTCAAGAGAAAAGTATTATCCCAGACAGATCTGTTGAAAGAACTAATGACAGTTAAAAATACTTGTAACACAATATATTCTTTCCATAAAGGATGAGAAGTTCAGGCACTTCCTCCAGCACATCACTTTCCTCATGCTTCAAAGACTATCCTCAAATTTGGCTAACAGTAGACAGAGATAATAACTGCATTAATAGAAGACAGGCCCAGAGAATCATTTAAAAAAGAATCAGTTTTTGCCCAAGGTGCAAATTAAGCACGACTGAGGAGGTCAACAAAAATTCTGCTGCTTCTTCAGAGTATCAGTTAGATGTTTCCTGCAGCTCTCCCATCTCTTCCTGAACTTCCTGAAATAGAAAGCAGCTTATTTTATTTGTTTCCCGACATGACCTGTCTCGACCCACCCTCCTCTTCATGTTGAGGATCTGGGAAACTCATCAAACAAATGGTGGTTCTCTATAAACTACTGAAGCTACTCTTCCCAATTTAGAATATTAACTATTTAAAAAGAAAAATGCAAATACATGGCAAATACATGGCCTCAACAATTTCTAAAGAAAATAATAAAAAAGTAATGAGCTTGTTTTCCTGAGAAAATATCTTTGGCATTTACTGCATATGTTCTATTATTTGGGCTAGTAGAGAATGGAGTCTGCTCTCAAAGTACCTACAAAGCACAACTGTTTTTCAAAAAGTTTGAGTGCTTTTTGAGCCTCCAAATCCATGCTACACAAAGGAAAAATCATTACATGCCTCATTCTTTTATTCCTCCCTAAGCATCCACTTTGGGTCTCTGCTGCAGACACAATACTGGGCTACGTTCACTTTCAATATGACCCCCTACAGTCACTCTGGTGTCATCTGCAGGAGTACTAAACTTCCTATTAAATGAGAAACCCCATATCTACCCAGTTTTGTAGAAATTTCCACTTTCTTCGCCCACTGTTTCTTAATAGAAAACAAAACTTCAACGAGCAACCACTTCTTGAGTAGCCTTACTCATGACTTTACACAGAGAACAGAGCTATTGCAGTTCTGTCTGAACAAGCTGCAAGATGGGTTCATGCAGACAACAAAACCCAGCGACATTATTTAGAAACTTGTACCAAGTTTCTTTTAAGAAGCTGTGAAACAAGGGACTTGGAGACAAGGCTGAAAAGTTCTAACAGAGCAACAATTTGCTTATTTCCAGCAGACCTGAAAGTAACTAACTACAAAAGTCACATTTTGCCACTTAAAGAGAAGGAAAGGAGAGGCTGTTGCTGAGGAAGGAATTACTCCACCTTTAGCTAATGCACCCATTCCAACTTGTGGAGAGCAGCAGCACACAAGGCTGTAAGATGAATATTTGTAAGAAGTTGTGTATAAATACATACATGCATCTATACACGCTGGTTTATGAGTCTAAAAAATACCATAGGTGAAGGGCATGAGAGGTTTACACTAAAGACTTGAAATCAAAGTAGTTTTAATTTGTATACTTTGTAGTGCCTTTCATTTCCTAGATATTCCAAAGGGCAGTTTCGTGAATTGCACCTCTGATTTGTAAGACAAGATTACTCTTCCTCCTGCATACATTTCTTCTAGTGAGGGAAAAAAAACCCCATGAATTAGCAAAATATTCAGGACTTTGTGAACATTCCTTTTCTTTCTCTTTCAAAATACTTCTGTATCATAAACTCAAGACTGAATTTCCAAATTTAGGAGACAACAAAAATACCTGTGAGTTTTCCAACTTATGTTTCCCTGAATTCTCTTACTAGCCAGAATTTCATAGACAGAATAAATTCTCTAAATTTTAGTGCTTCCCTTGTATCTACTTCAAAGAATCTACTTTTTTTTTCTTAATCCTTATAACCTTGGCTACAATATTGCAAGTCAAACTCATGATAAAGTAAATTCTGTAGTAAGTTCAATATTATTCCACCATAAAATTATCAACAAAAAATACAGGGACACCCGGAATGGCGTATTAAATCAATCGGTGCATATTACCAATTGCTGTCTGAAAGCTGCAAGTTGCAAGATGATCAAACATTGCTGAAGTCAACAGAATGCTTTTTAAATACTTCATCATTTAATGTTATTAAAATAATTTCATATTTGCATACAGAATTTCATATGGCATCTTATTTAAAAATAGTTCAATGTCATATAAAATTGTTTACATTCATTATAGGAACTTAATAATTATTCTGGCTAAATAAAAAGAAATCAAACCTATTCCTCGTATGCAAACTATTTCTTAAACGAAGTAAAACAACCTGAATATTTTTCATCTTATACTCCTCTTTCTCTTTTATTGTCAGCTATGATAACCTCCAGCCAAGGAAAGAGAAACGACGACCTTCACTTCTGCCTTACAACCGGCAAACTGTTTTGCCTTGCAGTGGATAAAAGATCAGAATCAACATGAACACTGTTAAACATTAACACCTTTTAAATATGTACACAATTCTTTTGTTTACCTCACCAAAATAACCTCAACTTTGGTTACTCTGTTACTAAGTTTTCATACTTGGCCTCTTCAACTGCCATTTGTTCCAATTTCAGGCTTGGGTATATTTAGGATTAAGCTCACAGAATACATGAATTGCTGGAAAACAGAAATATTTGAAAAGAGTAGGGCTTGTACAGAATTTGCTCTCAGCATCAATTCTGGTAAGAATGGGTGAATGACATTTTTAGTGAAAAGAACTTTCTTATTACTCAAGCTTGATTTTATGCAACCCCCTGAAATCACACACATGAAATCAATGGGTATTACTGAAGTAATACAACTCAAGTATTTCCAGTCTTAAAATTATCTTTTAAAATTATGTTACAAGTATATTTGCCATACAAGAATTATGTCATTCATAGTGGCAGAACTCTATTTTACACAGTTTTGTACTTCCTGAAGTTATAAAGTACTGCTCATGTAAAAATAACACTGGTAAAAATCTTGAGGAAAGCACTTTAGCCAATATTTCAGTCTATGAAGTTTATGTAGAAAAATCATAAACTAAATTCTTTTCAAGAAATTTGGGATAAACAGAACACCACAAGTTCTCTCAGGAGCTGGAGAATGCAAACAAATGCTTCTAACTGCTATGGGAACTGGATAAGCACTGAACAAGCCTGCTGAATCAACATCTAGCAAGTACAATGTCAGGTGTAACAGAATTTATCTGCTCCCAAAATACCAACACAAAATCACCTCCTCTGTCTGAATCACAGGTTTTAAATGAACACCTATTTTGGACACTAGCAGAGTACATTAATAGCATGAGTGTGCTGATTTTCGTAAGTTTTCAGTACATTTAGAAACTCACATTAGTACTGGGTCACTTCCCTTAAGTTTAGCAATAAACACTTGCACTCAAATGTTTTTACTGTTGTGGTCCAGCGAACAGAAGCTGAAAACATCCACTAAAGGTATCAGAGTAAAGGTGGCCTTCACTGGTATATTATTAGGTATCAGTGTAGGTTTAAAAACTAGTGTTTGAAATTAAGACAGACAGGCCTATAGACACTTAAATGCACTCCTTATCTCACTATAAATCCAAATCAGAGAAGTGAAACTATCAGCCTGTGTGTGTATGGAACAAAATAACATTCTTATTTGAAGAATAAACATCTCTTGAGGCCTCATGTGAAGATGCCAATTAGAACCCACTAATTTAATACCCAAAGTGTCCACAACTGTGCTCTGCCACATCTACATTTAATGTGTGTTAAATGTACACTGTAGCAATGTATAATAAAACTGTTTGCCACCATCACCCAGCAACTGTGTTCCCTGGTTGTGATTTGCAACTGTTAGAAGCCAAATTTTCAAGTCTGCCAAGCACTTTCTGTTAGAAAGAAGAAAATAAAATCTGACTTTATCATAGAAGTAGACGCACTGAAAAATAATTTTATTCCTCTGTTACAGAAAATTTCCTAGGTCTGAGAACAACATCTTTGATAGAGGCAGTGATTTCCTGGAGCTCTTTTCGAATGGTATCTGCTCCTTCCTCCTCTTCCCTGTTATCTGTTGTGTCGCTCTCTCCATGTTCAGTTTTCTTAGTCTGGCTGATCAATTGTTTCACCACTAATCCCTGGTATTTCACTAACAGAGAATGCTGATCCTGAGGGCAAAAGAAGAGAACAAAACAAAGGGTTGTCAATGTTATAGAGAAGGTAGACAGGTCTATAATTAAAGATTAAATTTTTAAAAAAGCATTTCCCCATTCTTGCCTAAAGAGGGTTAGTGATACATATTTTCATCAAGGTATTTGACAACCTAAATTCTCCCAGACATTCAAAGAGGCAGAAAAATGAAAGTGCGTCCATGCAGCAAAAACTGGACAATTAACAACTGAAGCAGGAAAGCAATACAGTCAGTAAACATCCCTAGTTTTGGCAGTATAAAACACAGAATTTCAGTATTTTTGCTTTGGAAGAGGTGTATCTTTCTTTAAAACTGAATTAGAAAAATTTAAAAAGCAACTATGCTATAGCTGAGAGGAGAGAGAGTGTAAAAATGTTCAGTTATACAGAGCTGCCTCTATGAATAAAGGCAAAGTACTAACAACAGATTGATTTTTAATTTTATTAAAAAAATATTGATGACAGATCCATGAAAGGATAGGTTTGAAATACAGTAGAGATCAGAGGAACTGCATATTCTGTACATAAAGTAATGATCAGATATGAAATGCAATGGTGCCAGGTTTATGCAGCAGAAATAGTGTAAGGCACAACTATTACGTTCTGTCATAGATAAAAGGTAATTTCCCCCTTAAAAAGCTAGAAAAGAATACCTCTGGGATCTTGCCACTTAGGAAATTAATAATCTGTGGTACTGATCTTCCTGGTGCATGAAGCATACAGTGAGTTGAAAACTGAAATAACAGTACTGATGTCAGGTGCAGAACAAGAGCTGGATCTTCTGTGACTTTCAGCTGTTCAATCAAAGCTTGTCTATGTTGAAACAGGACTTGCCTAAGGAACAAGAATACATTAAACAAAAATATAATTCTATGATTTTATCATATAGTAGTTGATCAAAGACTCTAAAACATATCTAACATCAATTATTTTACTTTTCTCCTCTGACTGAGCATTTATTTATGTGAAATTCCAGAATAATAAAATTAAAAAAAAAAAGTTAGCACTGGTGTAGCTCAGATTTTGAAAGACCCTTAGAGAATTTATACACTATGTTGTAGCAAGCAGTGAGTCAAGAAAATTAGCTAAATGTGAATTCTCCCCTCCTCCGTCTCCCAAGGATTTTGGACTGCTTGACTTTGTATTTTTCCATTAAACAGTTTGGAAAGAAGGACTGCCTCTTACTTATACATTGTATAAGTAAGTAAGTGTGACTGCTGCCAAACTAACCATCTAGCATTTGTGCACCAATACAACTACACTTCATAAAATAAACAAAATTAAGGTACCTTTCCTTCTTTTTGTCTCCTTTTTTCACCATAATACCACAAATATCCACTGCAGAATCAAGGCACGAAAGAAAATCTTCTACACTCTATTAAAAAAATGATATAAATATTTAATCTTTGTTAGCAGATTACAAAAAAATTTAAGTACTGTTCACAATTAATCACATGAAGAGATGACTGTGAATACACTTGAAATAAACTATAGAAAAAAGAGAAAGTAACAAGTAGAAATTAACTTAGTGGAAAATAACTTTGTTCATCTTACAATAGTTCATACACTTAAATACTAACCCAAACTGTAATTCATTAGTCTTAAAAATGGAATTAAAAATGAATACATGCTTTAGAACTATATGCAGATATACTTTTTCTTAAGAAACATATTGCCTTCTGTATACAAGAATTAATAAATAACTCTCCTTTGTACCTGCACTGCCATAATCTGAATGTTAACTTTTTTAAAACATATCCATGATTTTACAAGTTAAAAAATACTTGGGAGAACAATCAGAAACTTTGGGAACAAAATAAAAAAAAACATCAACCACTTTATGCAGGAAATTCTCTCTCAGTTCTTACTTTTCTCAGCTGCCCATAAAAGACACACACACTGGAATCTATCTGGCAGAAAAGAGCTAGGTGACCATCAGTACCAAAATGTAAGATCACCTTTTCACTTCTGAAAATTCAACACACTCTCACTGTGTGAGTGCCTTACACAAATTCAAAAGGCTATTTTGCCTTCATTCTTCACAGCAGCAGAGCTTGTGTACTACACCATGTGTCTCAGCTATTTGTTAGAGTCGTATCAGCAGAACAGAAAATCTGAACTTGGATTCACATCACTTTACCTTGCCATTCAGAGAGGTATGCAGTTTAGTCAAAGGACCTTTGGTGTCTTCTGGCTGTTTACCTAAAATCTTGGTCCTGCCCTGTATGGGACCAGAATGGAAATAATCTGTGATATTAATTATAATTTTAGATG